AAGTTTCTTTCGTTTTGTTTTTCTCAGCTTCGTAATTTATAGCGCGTATAACTAATGCTCGCAACTTTGTAAGTACGTGCGTGCATCCGTTAACAGAGAAAATATATTGCGTTACGGTCGAAACTTCATAGTACTCAGTCAAAGGCCTTTTTTTTGACTAACAAACAGAAAGAGGTTTTATTATATTATATTTATTTTAAGCATTTAACTGCCAGGTTTATACATCTTTTTTGGGTTTTTTAGTTTAGAAATGAATTAAAAGGAAAAGTGTAAAAGAAAGCTTTTGAAATGTGCTTAAAAGAGTAAAATGAGATTTTTCTTAAAAAACTTTTACTAGCAACTTCTAACGTCATTACATAATTTATATATTATAAAAGCTAAGTAAAAAATAAATAGCTAAATTTAAGTAGTACTTACTAAGTTTAGTACTTTAAATCTATTTTTCCCTCGGGGAACTAAGTAGCGAGTAAACATTTTCGTAGGTATATCGCAATAAACATCCATTTCTAGGGTATACAGGCGAGCTCATCACTGTAACTTGTGGGATTCCAACTCGTCTAATGTAGTAACTATATAGTGTGTAGTTGCGCCCGTGGGATACAAAATCAAAGTTGCCAACAACTCCATTAACAGACCGTTTGTTAAACAATGTTGCACTTACTTTGTGACTATGTAATTTACGTCAGTTGAACTTCAATATTGAAAATAAAAAAACTGGCGAAGTGCCTGTCGTGCCATGCGCAGTGTAGGGTTCCGTAGTTGCCTGTAGTTACCAAAAGATATTTAAACAGGAGTCTTTATTTTCTATATCGGAAATTAGAAAAACTAATTAATATCATTCTATGTATCTTAACTAGAATACCTACATCAAAGTCAAACTGCGTCTCAAACTCAAAATTAATTAGTTATTATTATTATTTTAAATAAGAATGATAACTGCCGATTATTTTTTGTTACCTTCCAGGCGAGGCGCTCCCTCGTCCCTCGTGTGAAATCCTCATGGAAACCTTTCAGCTAAAACAAACTCGTAGTTCATACTTATGGCCAGAAGGGCATACATGCTTCATCTGAAGCGATCATCTCCAGGGAAGGGAATGATGCGGTATAACCGCCAATATTTTCACGTGCTTTTATACCTTTTTTAAAAACGTTACTTTAGCGTGACACAGAGTCCGTTGCCGTTGGTACTCGCGGTAGCATTGTGGAACTAATGTTTTTTAATGTGGCTTTTAATTTTTTTTTTAGATTTTGAGGCATTGCAAGGTATTCCGCTATAGTTACTTCATCTATGTAAGTATTAATGTTTTCTTCTAAGGAATGTTCAATAGGTAAGAAATTTTCTTTAACCAAAGTTGATCGATGACTCTTAAACTAACTAATCTATCTTAACCGTTATAGTTTTCCTCAAAAGTTCATAAAAAGTACTATTGTCATGAATTTTTCCAGGTTTTTTCAAGCCAATAGTTTAGCTTTTAAAGGGGGGCGGAGGGCTTACTCGAACAACCTATTCAACGATATCCCACGCGATGGGGAAGATGATGAATAAACTCCTCCCCAGGTTACATGTAGGCGAGCTACCCTAAAATAAAATATATTTATTTTACCACCCTAAAGGATATTGGGCAAAAATGTATGGACGCTGCACCCAGGTCCGCCACGGCTTAAACTACATTTGTTTGAAAGAAATTCTATCCCGGGAGTCTTAAGTTATTTTAAGTTAAATAGGTACAAGTACTATAACGAACGAACATTAATGAAACAAGGGAATTAATTTAGACAGTTAGTTCGACACTACATAGGGGACTCAGGTATTATGGGAGAACTTCACAAGGTTCAAGGGTGCCCCCTTATGTTATTCTGCAGCACTAGAGTAAATCCAAAAATCCCCGCATGGGTTGGGGTTTTTTCAAATATTCTTTTCGTTATGGTAAATGGTCTTCTTTGTAAAACGGAGCGTCCACAAATCACCCAACCTTGTCCACGCTTCAGAGAAAACATGATTCCAGTTCAACCATACTAATTGACAATACCGATAACCGTGTTCTAATGTCCAAAGAGTGTTAGGTAAAAACCAATAAAGTGACACACAATTACAACGAAGTAAGACGAGTCGACTATTTGCAAATGCAAATCCTTCAACCCCCGTAAACCGTTTTGAGGTGGCTCAGTAAGTGCAAGCGCAGGATGGATCGGCAGGCTTTGTGGTATATCTGGTTGTATAGTATATGGCATATTATTATGGTTACTATTAATATAAAATGAAGGTACTATAAAATGAATTTATTTACCTACTTAAATATGCCCATGTGTCATATCTTTTGACTACCAGGATACATTTTACGGTGTCATATCTATTGACTCCCAGGATATTTTTTTTCGGTGTCATAATAAAAAAGGCTAGTTTTTCATAGATCTATCGATTCATACTAATTACATTGTTGGCGAAGCTGGGTGTGTTTTGCCCATTGTTCTTTATAAGGGATTTAATCAATATACCACCAATCTTACAACTCTCCACTAAATGACAGCTCTCTAGTGCTAAAAGTCTCCAAACAAAACTGGGAACGGACAGACGAACATGAAGAAACTATAAGGTTTCCTTGTCAGGGCTGACTATGGAACCCTAAAAAGTATGGGTTGAGCTTACAGTAATAATTTACATAGAAGGAATGCTAAAATAGTAACAATATGCAATTGGTCCGTACAACTTTCACCAATAAGGTCGATAATGTATTGGAAAGAGATATTGCGCCTTTTCTTTCGTCGTTTCGAAAGTTGGAACACAATGTATTGGCGCCAAAAATTTAATTAAAATAATTAAAATATGTGGAAAGCTCACTAGCTCAGTATTCAAACTGTCAACAAAAGTTTTCTTTTGAACGCTTTTTAATGTGCAAATATATGAAATTTAATCAAAAGTTCCCAAAAAGTACTACCATATCTTGGACAACTTGGAAAAAAAACAGAACAAATTATGATCCACTGTCTCGCTTCCACGCGTTTGGCTGCGTTTTGGTTAGAACAGTACCGATCTAGCCAAACAGTTTATATTTATCATTCTGTATAGGTAAATTATTATTCTACGGTATTGCGCCTATCTTCTATGTCTAATCTTCTTAGATTGAAAAGTCAATGATGAGTCATATAATAGTATTTATATTTGCCAATTTTACCATTAATTACGCAATGAACGACTTTGATGAACATAGTTATTAATTTAATTGAAGGAGTCTTGTCGGTATTAACAAATGAACGAACTTGTTATATGGGGTAAGTTTCGGAACAAACTCCTTAATGGCCAGCAAGTTCTGTCGGTAACCAGCCATACTTTTTATGTGCCAATTGAGTGTAATTACTTAAGTAAGGTCCCTCAACTTTTCTATGGGTGATGGACTTACTGCGAGAGAGCACTCTTAATAGCCGTAAACAGTAACTTTTGTATAATAAACTTTATCTACACTCGTGTTCAAATATTCGAATTACGAATTTAAAGATGGTTTTATACAGACGTACATTATAAACGCACATTCATAAAATTAAAAGTGAAACTCATTACAGTTCTGCTAGTTGTACCGTAAAATAAAATTTTAATTGTTAAAGCACACTATTATTTAATTTATTAAATTACGCTATCGTAATAGGCAATAAATGTGAAAAAACGACGTACGCATGCGCAGTTTGATCTCCTAAAAAAGAGCCGCGGAAGCGCGGGAAATAAAGTTCAAATTGCGCCATATTTTTGCGTGCGTCTTTTTTTCACATTACACATATAACCATAGCGTAATTTCATACATAAAAATGTGCTTTAATAATTAAACTACTATTTTATACTTACACCCATGTTTTAAAATCTCTATTAAAGATTCTGAAACAGTTAGCTTATTGCCAATATTAAAACATCGAATGTCATAATAAAAAAAACATTATAACACCCAAACGGGTGTTACACTGCTACAAAGATCTTTATGAATGTGAGTAACAGTTCAGGGAGGGTGCCACTGTCTACGTAAATAACATACAAAATATGACTTTTACAAAGAAGGCGGCGTTAGTTCAAATATTTGCCACCTTCATAAAGATCTTTGTCGCATTGTAGGTATAATGTTGTACTAAATTTCATAATAATACTTCTTCGCTTTTAACTCATCAGACAGCCACAGTTTCACTGCCCAATGCGTGGTATAATGAATTTAAACATTAAAGAACACTGTCATTCACGCGCATTTCACTACCACAGCGCCGAAACTTATCTTGAATCGGAAGTTCTTAGAATGCCCCCATGGTTTCAAAAACTCTAATAGAGGATTCATATAATGGGTTTAGATAAAGTCTTGTATGCAACTATTAATAAATTTAGGTATTAAAACACTCGTGTGATACTAATATCGTGTTATTAAGGCCTTTTACCATATATTAGTAAGGCTCTGCTCATTTCATCGAGCCTTCAGAGCTGGATGAAATGGGGAGGGAGGAGTCTTCAGATACCCTGTTCGTGCTACTTCCAGTGGTTCAAATGGCGTAATACCTTTTCTAGATATAAAATAGGTAATACCAGAGAAAAACCTGCATCATTATTTATTGACAGAAACACAACATCACCAATATATGCTAATGACGATTTATATCTCAGTGGTGATTTTGGTGGTGACTTAATACCCGTTTGGCCGATATATGGCCTCGCAAGACGCGTCTCCGAAAACACATACCGATGAGCATCACCTTAATCCCGCTATTATAGTGGCTACTTGTCCTTCCGCCGTGACTTTGTGCACGTAGGGGAATGGTCATTCATTCAGAACGCGTGGGAAACACCAATATGGTGCCGATGACGACGATTAATTTAACCACGGCCTTGTAGTGATGACTCGTTCTTCTGCCATGACCCAATGCACGTCAGGGATGGGTTACTTTGCTGGACGTTTGGGAAACGAAAAAATACGGATGCGAGTCGGAGGAGGGGCATGGAAAAGTAAGAATATGGTGCTAATAATGACGACTACCTTAATCCCGGTATCGTAGTGACGACTTGTCCTTCCGCCGTGACCCAATGCACGTCGGGCGTTGGGTGGCCTGTGGCTCTGCATGTAGCGTGGGCACCGCGGGTCGCCGGCCACAGGAGGCGAGGCGGGGGCTCCACCGCGAAGTGGGGCCGCTTGTCGCCTGTACTGGCCGCCTGCACCGCCAGCGCGATGAGGAGCAACGCATGCTCTGCAAATAAAATCCTTTTTACCTGACTGCGCAATGCAAGAGCGCGGAGCGCGACGCGCAGACTGGGTATAGTGTTTAACAGTCTATATATGTATGTTTGTCCCTTGTGTGGCACTCTAGAGACCAAACGCATGGACCGATTTTGATGATTCATACGTCAATCGATTCGTCTTGATCATGGGAGTGCTACTAAAGATATGATAGAAAACAAAATTCAATATGGGAACAATTAGGCGCCATATTGTGACGAAGTAAAAAAAATAATAATATCATTGTCTAGATAATCGAAAATCATGATTAGGTTCCTTACATCATTTTTCATTTTATATGATTGTTTAGGATTTACAATGATTTAAAGTTGTATATTAACCACTTGCTCTTTTAATTTCAATCTTACGTTTATATGGATCTTTGTTACTCTTTCACCTAAAAAGTACTGAATGGACTTTAATGAAACTTTACAGTAATATAGTTCATACATGATAATAACACATAGATAATAATTAATGTAGTCATTGAGTGAATTGGCCAAAATATAACAATAAGTGTCACGTAAGACTGAAAAAAATCTCCCATCTGCGAGCCCTTTGCCCTGAACTTCAAAAACAATAAAAGTTAGATGAATATAATGTAGAGTGAAAATGTATCTCTTAAATAGTTCTACAAGAAAGTCCGCGACACCATATATCTATTTTTAATGTGCAAGCCATTATCGCTAAAATAGTGAATCTAAAATACAGTATTATTTACATTTTGTATTAACAAATTATTTTTTATCAAAACAAACACTTTTATCGCTTTTGATATTTAAAGACGATAAACTTTGCCTTTCACACTATGTCATTTCGACAAATATTAAAAAGTTATAACGATGAAAAAGTGATAGCGCGGAGTACTATGTAAGAGTAGACTGCGGGAATAGAGGGAGAAGAAATTTAATTATGGTGTATAAAAACGTAGATAAAACCTAGGCGAAAAAGAAAAAAAGGCTTCTCGCAGTATCTTTTCCTACACGAAGTACTTACAATAAAGGTATTCCACAGTTCCTTCTTATTAAATGATGAAAAATAAATTATTATAATAAAAATATGATGTAAATTAAAGTTTTTCATTAAATTACAATAATCATACATTAAGTTTTTAAAGTTTATTTTAATGATATTACTTCATGATTGAAATTATTATTGAAAAAAATTATCCATTCTTGAATATCTAATGGGTCCCGACTGTTAAAGTAGCTTTGTTCCTTACTTAACAGAATTATAGACTACCTACTGGACTTGTTTTTTTATTTTCAGTTTTTATTTGAAGTAATATTTTAGCAGTCGCGTTTTTTGATTTTTTACTAGTTTGTATGTTTTGTATGAATGTCATAATCCTAGCGCGATGAGGAGCAAAGCATTCCCTGTAAAGCATAGTAGATTGTTCATCAAGGAAAGAGAGTGACAATCACCAACGAGTACTTAAGTACAAAAGCACTTTATTTCGAAGGACACATACCTAAGTTGAATATCTTATTAACTACGTATTTTTTGAAGTTATACTTCTTTAGCCGCGTTATGAAAAAATTATGAGAGTGAAATTTTCATCACTGTAACACAAAATTTTAACATAATGAAGTTAGCCGCGGGCGCGTTATTTGTAATATTTTATTTTCCAAGTGACCGTGGGGCAGATTTGAACAAAGCAAACAGGACAGATTTGAACGGGACAATGAAATGAAATGAAATGAAACGAAATGAAACGAAATGAAACGAAATGAAACGAAATGAAACGAAATGAAACGAAATGAAACGAAATGAAACGAAATGAAACGAAATGAAACGAAATGAAACGAAATGAAACGAAATGAAACGAAATGAAACGAAATGAAACGAAATGAAACGAAATGAAACGAAATGAAACGAAATGAAACGAAATGAAACGAAATGAAACGAAATGAAACGAAATGAAACGAAATGAAACGAAATGAAACGAAATGAAACGAAATGAAACGAAATGAAACGAAATGAAACGAAATGAAACGAAATGAAACGAAATGACACGAAATGAAACGAAATGAAACGAAATGAAACGAAATGAAACGAAATGAAACGAAATGAAACGAAATGAAACGAAATGAAACGAAATGAAACGAAATGAAACGAAATGAAACGAAATGAAACGAAATGAAACGAAATGAAACGAAATGAAACGAAATGAAACGAAATGAAACGAAATGAAACGAAATGAAACGAAATGAAACGAAATGAAACGAAATGAAACGAAATGAAACGAAATGAAACGAAATGAAACGAAATGAAACGAAATGAAACGAAATGAAACGAAATGAAACGAAATGAAACGAAATGAAACGAAATGAAACGAAATGAAACGAAATGAAACGAAATGAAACGAAATGAAACGAAATGAAACGAAATGAAACGAAATGAAACGAAATGAAACGAAATGAAACGAAATGAAACGAAATGAAACGAAATGAAACGAAATGAAACGAAATGAAACGAAATGAAACGAAATGAAACGAAATGAAACGAAATGAAACGAAATGAAACGAAATGAAACGAAATGAAACGAAATGAAACGAAATGACACGAAATGAAACGAAATGAAACGAAATGAAACGAAATGAAACGAAATGAAACGAAATGAAACGAAATGAAACGAAATGAAACGAAATGAAACGAAATGAAACGAAATGAAACGAAATGAAACGAAATGAAACGAAATGAAATGAAATGAAATTTATTCAGTCTAGGCTGTTACATATGGACTGATAATTTAAATTCAGTAGTGATTTTAATTGCATATTTTGAATATTTATTTAATTTTTCAAATTAAAACTGAACTTAATTGACTGTGTTAACTATCCTTTTCCAGTCCTCTTATTATTTTATTGTAATTATTAATTATTTGCATGCAATTAAAAAATATTTTAGTAATGCTAAAGAAGTATAACTTCTCACGCGCGTACATAAGTTACACGCATCCATTTTTTTATAACGTCATCAGTTTTGTGCGCAAAGCATGCTCTGTAAAAAATTGTACCAGCTTTATATTGTTTTTGGATTTCATGGGTAATATAGGTTCTCAAAGACTGCTAGTTAAAGAAATACAATCATAAACTTTTTGACCGCTCAGCGCATTCAATGAATGTTCATTAGAAATAATGTACCACTGATTTTCATCCACTTTTTCCGCCCAAGTGCAACAGTAATGAAATCCTTTTAGTCCGGTCAATCTCAGGAACATCAATTTGCATCAAGCTGGAATTGAGTAAAATTGTTAAAAAATAATTAAAAATATATTTAGAAAAAAAACAGAGCTAACTAAGCTCGCCATTTATTTATTTGTTACTTAACATAGGTTACATACTTTGTACATTACACCTTGGTATTAAGGACGATGAAATCATATAACGATATATCCCACCAGCTTCCTAGCCCCTGGTCTGTGTAGCCCTTCGTTTTCTTTTTCACGGCCGAAAAAAAAAACCGGCTGATTTTCCTCTTATTATTCGAGTTCTACTATACATCTTAGCTTCATTTATGTCTTTAATTAATCCTGTATAGTTTTTCTACAACCTTATCTAGACGTGTAAATTAAAAGCATTTCTAATATAATAAAAAGCAAAATATGTAAAAAGAAAATATGAATAGAATTTTCTCAAGTCGTGGTATTAATCATCCACTTACACAAACGAGGGGCTAGCTAAATAAAGCAGTTCGCGCGCTTGTTTTTACTTTTTCAGAAAAAGCAAGTGGCCAGTATCATTTTGCAGGCTTTGTGATAAAAACTTTTTGGTTCTTATCAAAAAAAGTTTCATATCGATATGATCCAAAAAGATTGCACCTTAGCAATGAATTTTCATAGCCTTCGGATAGTTGCTCCAGAAACTGCGCCATTGATCTACTTCCTCAGTTCTTATATTCTTTGTTAATTGATAGCGTGCTAGTATTTCGAGCCATGCTGCTCTCTGAGTAACTTTTAATGAACTGTATTTGTATTTCATTCTATCGGAGCCAAACTGCAAACGTCGCTCCTGGGTAGACGACTTTCATCTTTCCTAGTTTGTCTCTTAGCTTGACACGTCACGTCAATGTTGACATCTAATAAAGCCCATCGGCGCAGTGTTATCGGACGATAATATCGGATGCGTTATTGCGATATTTCATCATACTTTTACTGTGTCGTTTTTATCGCAGCAGTGAATCACTTTGTCATACTAAAATTTACTAAAATAGATATAATTTACTAAAATAGATATCGCAATAACGCATTCGATATTATTGAACGACAATGACGCATCCATGGGGGTGAGGCCTAAATCGCTTCAGTATCGGTATCACATTAGATATAAATTGAGTTCAGAAATATTATGTAAAAAGGTCACTTATTAAAAGTATTTTTAATTACCTTAATAAAAATGGGCACCAATTAATTACTTAATACAATATTTTTGTGGTAACAAAACCTCAAAAAATTGAATATATTTCAGATTAACTTGTGTGTCGTTCATAGGGTCATAACATAAATCAGGTTTAGAGACTATCTCTCGCCCGGCGGGCTACCACAGCATGAAAAATTGAACAAAAATGATGCAATGAAATCCGTCAAATAATGATTTGCGAGAAATTTAAAGGAATTTTATTTTCTAGATCTTCGCTTGAAAATGCAATGAAATTAATAGTTTCTAGTCCCTTAAACCAGAAAAACGTATTTAGTCTTTTTTCGTCAATGTAGGTACTTATAACTCGAAGAATTAAATAAATTAAGTTATTGCAAAATCTATACAAATATACTCATACAAAATATTCTTTTATGAAAAAAATATGTTCAGATGTAGTTAAAGTAGGGAACAGTACCCCTAGCACGAACCAATATCGAATTCGAATAGTTTGCGAGTGCGAAATGTCATAGTCAAATATGTACTAATTTTTAGTTCTCGTTACGTACTTTGCGGCGCTGCTGTTCAAGTTTCCATACAAAATTTGACTTTG